AAATGTAAATTTTAAACATTTAAAATTTTAACAGCCCCCAAAGAAAAGACCTACTTTTATGGATTTACTACTATTTTACCATTTGCATTACATACAAAACTCAACAGAAACACGTAGGTTCACAGGTTATTTTGTAAGTTGCGCTGCTGAAATTATGACCCCTGGTTCCTAGCACCACCACTGTAAAGAAATCCAGGTCAGCACGTTTCCATACAAAGCTACATTTCACATCAAACCACTCTAAACGACTTCAACAATCGAATTATACCAATTTTTTTAAATAAACTTGTTAAATTCTTTTTCAAAGTAATAATTCAGACATAAACGCTGCCTTTGGCAAAATGAATGAAGTGTAGTGGAAACCTAACAGCATGATCTAACCGGCCTTACACTAACTACTTCCTACTAGCTTTCATTCACTGTTAGCAACGGTAGCATTTTGGGCTGGACTACTCCTCAAAGGTGAAAAGCAGCTGCTGAGGTGGTACAGAAAAAAGTACAGAAAAAGAGATGAGTTCAGATGATACTCGACAGCACAATCAGCAGGCAGTCACACGGCAACATCATCTGTTCCGCTCCGCCTGCTCCCTTAATGTCAGCAGCATCATTTGTTCTGCATGCTGGTTCACATTACACTGGAAATAAATCTCTTCATTTGCCCTCAGGCGGCATTGCTCAAAACCAACGATCATTTACAAAGAGCAGTATTAGAAATTCATCAGTGCAAGAATGAAAAATAGTCCCTAATCTTGGGAAACCGACACTGAAACATGACTAATATGTTAGAAAACAATGGATTCATTTACAGCAGAATGTGTCTGTCCTGTCCTGATGTGTGAAGTTACTACAGGCTGCTGTTCTAAAAGGAAGACAAGGTCTTGATAAACGCATCTAATACAGAAAACAGGGTGTAATGGTGCTGTAATGGTTTTTTTCTACACATGAAGGCATCCTGGCATGAGATATTTGTAAGAACTTAAACCTGGAATTTAAACGATTTCAGGAAATCAAACATCAACCTGTCAAATCTTCACTTTTGTAAGACGGCACAACCTTGAGCTCGCTGACGAAACTCTAAACTAACCTCCACTTTCTGTGATATTATAGAAAGAGGCTTTAAATGAAAACATCAAAAACTTTCTTCTCTCAGTAAAAACAAGAAGCTAAAACCAGAAACCTGAAGTTTGTCTCAGGCAAACAGACTGCACTTTGACGATATGAGCCTGGGAGAGAAACCCAGCTATGGTTATCGATTGATTAGGGGTGGGCGGATTAATACTGAAGCATCAAAACTTCAGGTTTGTTTTTGAGAATCAATCCTCTCATGAAAACGCTGTTAAACAGGTGTTTGCTATAAGCAGTAAACTGAAAATCTTTAGATTAAATCGAACGTGTACTTAATTCTGGAAATGTTATGTTAGCAAACAAATATGTAGACTAGGAACTACTTTTCCTTCCACACTCCCCCTCTGCTTTTCATACGTACGTACTGATGGCACATATGAGAAGGAGTGAATGATGCACAACAAAAAAATATTACAGTTATTTCAGTTTATTTAGTAGTAATGCAAAAATATTTTCTGCACAGCAAGTGTTTGTCCCTGTACTGCTGCCAGGATATTAGTCCTTGTATCACTTAGTATCAGACTGAAAAGACACACTTTCAAAAAAGATGGTTCTTCAAGGGATGTTTAGTAAAGTGAATGGTTCTATTTAGAATCATTAGCTGTATCTAGAACCATTTCGTGCTCAGTTTTGCTTTGTGAAATGCTTCTTCAGATTGATGGAGAATGTGTCGTGGTTCTTTATGGCTTCATAAAGAGTTCTGCTGTTGTTACGATGCCAAACTTGTAACAACAGAGGAACCCTTTTTGGTGCTACATAGAACCATTTTCAAACAGATCCTATACAGAACCATACATAACACATTCTCCTTCAATTCGAAGAATCATTTCACCATGTAAAGAACCCTTTAAGCATGAAATGGCTCTATAGAGAACCATTATTTTTACTAAAAAGCCCCCAGAAGAACCATCTTTTTTAAGAATGTAGCTCTAAACATTTATCGGTAGTTAAAATACATCGAACTTCCTACTTGAGGTAAAGCTAAACAACAGAATTAGCTAGTTAGTCAGTCAGGCCCCAACATTACTTCGGGCAAAGCTACAGCTAGGTTAGCTAGTTAGCCTTGCTCGCTTTGACTCACACAGCCGAAACATGACGGCACGATATTAACTGAAAATAATGTTTAATTCACATCACAACACGGCGTTGTTTGTCCGGTTTGTTTCAGTCGTTTTTTCGCCTGTTAGCGCGTTGCTAACGATACTCAAAGCAATGACACATGAGGGAAAATATGCACAGGAAATGCCTCACTACGGTCTGTCTCCCGCTAACCGTCACCGCAGTTCGTGTAAAACAGTCGGGCGGCTGGTCTGAAACATAGCTAGTAAAGCGCCGGAGAGAAAAGTGAGTATTTGTGCTGTTTTGTGTGTTTTTCTAGCCGGAGCTCTTACCCATCCCGCCGCTCAGAGCCGCTCCGAGTAACCGATCACTGCCGAAGCGACATTCCCTGCAGACCACTTCCGCAAAAAACGGTACGCGCTCTGCGCAGCGTGAGCCCAACTGTACTGCGTCACAGAGGCGCAGAATGCGTACAGCGTGTTGGTGAATAGCCAACGAAAAGAATTTGAATCTCGCGATGCGCGGAGATAAAATCAGAAATGTTTCAGACACACATGAAGGAGTGAGACAGGAAGAGAGCGAGAGAGAGAGAGAGAACAGAGAGGAAGAAAGAAACACAAAGAGAGGGAGAGCAAGAAAGAGTGAAAGAGGGGAGAGAAGACAAAAAATGAATGAGAGAGAGAGAAGATAAAGGAGAACTTGGGATAGAGAGAGAGAGAGAGAGAAAGCTAGAAAGAAAGAGAAGGGGAGAGATAAGAGAGAAAGAAAGACATGAGAAAGAAAGAGAGAAAGCAAGACAAAGAGAGAATAAGAGAGAAAACGAGAGAGAGAGAGACAAAGAAGGAGAGCAAGAAAGTAAAAGAGAGGGGAGAGAGAAGACAAAAATGAAAGAAAGAGAAGAGAAAGCAAGGGAGAACAAGAGAAAGAGAGAAAGAAAGAGTATGGGAGAAATAAGAGAGAGAGAAGAGAAAGCAAGGGAGAACTGGAGAAAGAGAGAGCAAGAAAAAAAGTGGGGAGAGATAAGAGAGTAAGCAAGAAAGACATGAGAAAGAGAGAGAAAGCAAGACAGAGAATAAGAGAAAACGAGAGAGAGAAATAAACAAAGAAGGAGAGCAAGAAAGTAAAAGAGAGGGGAGAGAGAAGACAAAAATGAAAGAAAGAGAAGAGAAAGCAAGGGAGAACAAGAGAAAGAGGGAGAGAAAGCAAGAAAGAAAGAGTGGGGGGGGAGATAAGAAAGAAAGCAAGAAAAACAATCTTTATTTTTACGTGATCATTTTCTAACCTCTCTTTATTCTTAGAATTTAACCAGCTGTTTATGTTACTGTGCCTTTAAGACTAATGTATGTAAATAAGCTCTGCTGTTATTGGCTCGCCTGTATAGTGCCTCATTCAGAGAGCTGTCCAGTCTAAAACACTCTTTATAACTTCGGCGTGAATAGATGCGGCTGAATTCCTGTAGGATCAATGGACAGATCTTTGTAAATGTGTTGGTATTTATGACATCGCAAATACAATGAATTGAAAACAGGCTGTATACTCAGTAATCAATACTGTGTTTCTGATACTGGGGATGGCCGTACGCAGAAGAAATCACTTTAAAATCTTTCTTTTGAGACGGTTTTGAAAGTAATCAGGCAACCCGTTCCTTTAGTAAACACCCACCGGAGTTTCAGACAGTCTAATCTGGCAGGCACTTGTATCTGCTGATTGACATTGATTACCACAAATCCCTTCTAAAGCAGCTTTCCAAAAATTCCACACCACCCCACCCCATATCTTATCAATCTGACCAAAAACAACTGTTAACACAAAATAGAATAAACAGACCGTTTGTAATCACATTGGACCACAACACATTTAACACAATCTGGGTTCAGATGCTCATCTCAGCTAAAAATACCCACCACTGGATCTCAGGTTGTTTTAGAAAACTATGATTCCATTATAGCTAGAAGCACATGAACTCTTATGAGGTACAAACTGATGTTATAATTGATATCAGCACTACAAGATACATATTGATGTTACAAAATTTCAATGCACACATTTCACAGACATAATTCAGTGACACGTAACATGCACAGTTCATCAAGGAAGATAACTGATATATAAGATATTCATTATAATTTTGAGTTGTAAATTCATTTTCAAGGAAATGAATTGGGATATTATAACAAGCAGATCAGTCCTTATGGTTGTGCATAACTGTAGGTATGGTACGCTTTTATATCAGAAAGTAAAATTATGGAATTTGATATCAAATCGAATTCTAAATTGCATCGGCCTTTACTTGTAGGAATTATATTTTAGCATGTATAATTTCATTTTTCACTGAAAAGAGTTCCTGTCTATTCCCAATTCATTTAAACTGAAGAAACAAATAAATGTAATTTTAAACACATCATTGTATTTTAGATGATAAATTATAACAAATGTTTTATATATTTTGTGTATTTTAATAAATGTAAAATGATGCTAATTTACCCTTATGAAAGTATTTTAATTAAAATAAAATGTTATTTGCTAATTTACTTACTATAGCCCTGCTTATCTGCCTACAGCTCAATACTGCACTAAGGAGCGTAGAGAGACTTTTATTTTGAAATATGGAAAAATCGGTGGAATTATCTTTCAACCTTGTAAAGAAATTGCTCTTACAACAGAAAAAAACTTTCTATTAAAATAATGATATTTAAGTGTATTCATAATAAATAACATTTCAATTCAAATAAAATGTTAACATTAGAACACTTTTACCGCAGACTTCCCTGCAGCTCAATTTTGCCATGTTTTAAGGAGCGTAGGAAGACTTTTATTTTGAAATTGTCAGTTGTCTAAGTAGTGACATTTCCACGTTTTGCGTTGCCCCTAGCAGTCAAAACAGGTCCGACAGTGATAGGAAGGTCCTAATGTAGCTAAACCTCGTTTATGCTGGGTGGGTTCGCTGATGAAATGCTGATGAAGTGACTTAGTAGGTGAAACTGTAACTTATAGACTCTGCCGGTTTGTGTAAGCAGGTTTAGTTAGCAAGCGAGCTAACTAGCGCTAAAAGTGAAGGCGCTTCACCTTCAGCTCTTCAGCTCTTTAGCCGAAAGCATGAGCTCCGCGTCCAGCTCCACATCTGAGGCAGCTGTTTCAGTAACGGGCAACATTCAGCGGCTTTTCAGCCATGTGAGGGTAGAAAACCTGGCTGCAGGGCTCAGTGGAGGTGTGGTGTCCACCATGGTGCTGCACCCTTTGGACCTGGTCAAAATAAGGTTCGCAGGTAAGTGTAATTGAACACGTTTGATTGTGGAAAATGCAGATCACAGTTAGGGTTAGTTGAATGGACATCAGCCATAACATTAAAAAAGTCCTTGTTTCTACGCTCATTGTCCATTTTATCAGGTCCACTTACTATATAGGTGCACTTTGTAGTTCTACAGTTACAGACTGTAGTCCATCTGTTTCTCTGCATACTCTGTTACCCTGTTCTTCAGAGGTCAGGACCCCCACAAGACCCCCATAGAGCAGGTACTATTTGGGTGGTGGATCATTCTCAGCACTGCAGTGACACTGACGTGGTGGTGGTGTGTTAGTGTGTGTTGTGCTGGTACGAGTGGATCAGACACAGCAGTGCTGCTGGAGTTTTTAAACACCTCAGTGTCACCGTACTGAGAATAGACCACCAGCCAACAGTGGTCCTGTGGGCAGCGTCCTGTGAGTTGGTAAGTTTCTCTACAGTGGACCATTCTATATGAAACCCGAATGACTTTTATTACATCTTAACGACTTAATTATGCAGAAATTTAGAAAATCTCTGGAATTCCCCTTTAATATGAGAACGTTCTGTGCTCATTTAAGTCACGGCTTCTAAATATAAACCCTTTCCACAAACGTCTTTGTCATCAGTTGTACAAGTTCACTTTAACAGATGTTGCTTACACATATAATATAGATGTATGTAATATTAGGGGCTGAGTTGAACTACATTTGTCTAAGCATGGATCTCACCAAACTGTGCTGGTCAGTCAGGACTAAATGGTCAAGGATTGTATGCAAATGAACTGTATGTGGTGGAGAAACACTTATGGTGAATGCGTGTTTTTATATGCTTGCTGAACTTTCATTTATAACCGTGAATTTGATGTATTTGCAGTGAGCGATGGTTTGGAACTGAGGCCGAAGTATCATGGAATTTGGCACTGCATGAGGAGCATCTGGCAGCAGGAAGGCCTTCGAGGGCTGTACCAAGGTGTGACCCCCAACGTTTGGGGTGCTGGAGCTTCATGGGGCCTCTATTTTTTCTTGTATGTACAATTTTGTCTTTAATTTGTTTACACAGATTATATGAAACAGTTTCTTTGTAACTAACTAGACTGGCACAGATCTGATACCTAGTATCAGAATCAGGTTGATACCAGCAGAAATAATGAATCCAAACCCATTCAGTAACGGATCTAGGCTTAAATATTACACAACTGCTTGTAGCACAACTTAATGTAAAGGAGAGTAAGTCACATAACAACAGTATCAACATGTAGACTAGCGTTAACATGAGAACAGTGAGTACGTAGCTAAGCATTATACTAGAATTATAATTAATTTGTTTTTAAAATGTCAAAATCTGCTCACATTTGTACTGTAATGGCACATCCGTGCCTGTTTACGGTCTCCTGTAGGGTATTAGAGTGGTTTTTTGCACATACTTTTAGTGCATCTTAAAGCTGCACTATGTAAATTTACAAAAATGAAGTAGTCAGGAGATGCTAAAATATGGTTTGTGTGTGCTGCTGTGAGTCGAGCTGTGAAGTCAGAGGCGCCGCATCAGAGTTTTTCGGACCATGTCATACGTCTTTACCTATTAACGTCTCGTCTACAGGCTCAGAAAGAAGCTCCAGCTCGATGGCTTCAAATGCAAAATCAACATTATACTGATGAAGATGATTCCACATGTAGTGTTCAGTTACATATATCGCCAAATCTCCAAAACTTGCATTGTGTAGCTTTAAGTGAACTGCTTTGATTTAAAAAACAACTCCAGTTAAAAGTGTAGCAGTTTTTAATGAATGAACAATATCAGTTTCAAATGATACTCAAGGTTTCAGGATCTGTGTTGGAAAAGAAAAAAATGGTATTGTATCATCTCTGCGTGGAAAAAGTCTATCCATTCACTAACTTCGTCTTTCATTGACAGTTATAACGCCATTAAGGCTTACGCCAAGGAGGACCGTCAGACAGAACTGAGCGCTGTGGAGCACCTGGTGTCGGCAGCAGAAGCAGGTCAGTTCTGGCCACAGCTGGTTTCCATGGACACTGTGGCTATGGGCGGATCAATGTCCATAACAAAATGAATCCATTAAATACTCTGCAGCCTGCAGGTTATCACAGGTTATCTTTTATGAAGGCCCAGTTTCAAGGTGGAATGCAGTAATGAGAGCACTTCAGATATAGATTTAATTATAGGGATGCTAAAATGCACCTGAAGGTGGTGATTCAGCTGCTTCAGTTTTAGAATGTCATAATCAGTTTATAATGGATTCTATTAATATACAGTAAAGTAGGAGCTCTGATTTGGCCAAAGTAAAAGCCGAGCTGTTTTAAATGTAAAAACCCCCCCCAAAAGTGTATTGATTTTACTGTCTATATTCCATTTTGGGGTAAATAGTTCCTCCAGTCGTATTTGTGTGTTCTGTCTACTTTTAATCATTTTAATGAAAACATGGTGCAGTTTGAGATTTCATGATGCACCAATGCACTGAATCACTCCCTAAAGAACTGTTATCAAATGGAATCTTGGTGATGTCAGATTTAGTGTGCTATCAAAGGGCCCATATCCTAGTGTCTTTTTTTTAACCTAATACAGTTGTATGAAAAAAAAGAACAGTCAAATCACGTTTTTATGATTTTTAGGGAACAAACTTAGATGTGTGCAAATTTTAGTGCACAATCTCTATTTATTTGTGTTGAGTTTAACATTAACAGGAAATGGTGGGAAATCATTCCTCACCTAGACTCCCATTCGTTTTCAGCAACACGTAGCTACCACTTAGCAACTCCCTATGAACCACTTAGGAAACACAGCAGCAACTGCCTAGCAACATCTTAGCAACCAACTGGGTTACCATAGCAACATGGTAGCAACCACCTCGGATACCATCACAACCACCTAGCAACACTGCAGCAACCACCTTGGATACCATTGCAACCACCTAGTAACACCTTAGCAACTACCTGGGACACCATAGCAATCACCTAGCAACCACCTGGGATACAATACCAAACCCCTAACAACATAGCAACCACGTGTGCTACCTTAGCAACCACCTAGCAACACCTTAGCAACTTCTTTAAATACCATAGCAACCACCTAGCAGGAAGTGGGAACCATTTAAGCTGTGCAACCAATGTGCGTTTCCTGCAGGAAATGCTTGTTTCTAGTTTATTTTTCTAACCATTTTCCAACCTCGCTTTATTCCTCAGAAATAAACAGGATGTTTTTGCTACCAGGATGTGATTGGCTGCCTTGTATTATTCCTTGTTTTAAAAAAAAGAAGCATTCTGGCCTGAAACACTCCTTATAACTTCAACGTGAGTCGCCAGGGCTAAACTTTGTGACATCACAAAGACATCGATTCAGTTTAGTTTCAATATTTGGACTGTATGAATGGTGCATTTTAAAACTTTCACAACTTTCACAACTGTTTACATACGACATCATTACAACGTATTTCAAATTAGTGAGGGAAATTCCATGATATAGGCCCTTTAAGTCGTAATAGTAATAGCCTGTAGAATATCATCATAATTTACAATATTTCAGAATAAATGTCATAAACAAAACAACATTTCAGACAAAGGAGGCCAGGATTCAGATTTTATTATGGTCTGTCAGGATCATGGCTAAAAAGCTCACACATGGCCTTAAATGAAGTTACGAATTGCTGCTCTAAAATGCTGTTTAATTTACTACAAAGAAAAGAGCTTCACTGAGTACAAAGAGCAGCCGGACAGGATGTATATGTCACGAGCAACGAACCATGTGACTTTAATAAAGCTTAATGAACCAACACCGCAGACTTATGACTCATGTCTCCGAATAAGGAGGCGGAAACACATTCATTTTTCAGCCTCAGATAAAAAGAATTGCTTTTTCTTGTTTCCATCCTAAATTTCACCTAAAGTAGTCGTTAATTTAGGCCACACAGTCGACCATTAATATCACTGCTGTCTATTAAGGTCTTTGGTTTTGCTAATCTGCAGGTCATGTATGTGATGTTTAAAATGATGGTTTGGTGAAAAAAGTACATTTATACAGTATTCCCCTTACCCCAAGAGTAGTTCATCAGTTTGCTGATTCGGCGCTCAGTGCCAATCATTAATTACATTAGCCTTGTGGCTCCGGTGCAGAATTAAAGAAGAAAAATGCTCTTGTCTTGGCTGATGGACTACATCTGGGGTAAAGGAGTGATTGTGTTTGTTTTTTTGTGTTAGTTTGATTAAAAAATAAATCAGTTTAATGAGAGATGCTGCTGTTTTTTAGGGGCGATGACTCTCTGCCTTACAAACCCCATCTGGGTGACCAAGACGCGTCTGGTTCTGCAGTACAGTGCCGATCCGAGCAGCAAGCAGTACAAAGGCATGGTGGATGCGCTGGTGAAGATATACCGTCAGGAAGGAATACCGGGACTGTACCGGGTAAGACACACAAGGCTTAAAGGAAAACTCCAGCGTTTCAGCCTCGTTGCTATCTGCCGCATTTGTGTCTTAGACAGTTAGGGTTGGGTGGGCGAACAGTAATAACGCATACTGTGGTATTTAAAAATGATGACGTGTCAAATTCCACGTCGCAACAGCAAAATATACACATTCCACTCATTTCTATTTTAGAGGTGTCACTGATGGTGGTGTGGGAGCTCACTGACAGAAAGAGGGGGAAAATCTTCAGAACGACTAAGCATTATAGCGGCTCAGTGACAGCTAAGAGCTACACTCACCACAGAACTGATTTGATTTCAGCTTTCTCTCGCTCCAACACCTGTCACTTGATTTTTGCTCTCTCAGGTATCCTCTAAACCAGGGGTCGGCAACCCAAATGTTGCCATTTTGTCCTTTCAGCAAAAATTAAACCACACTGGCAGCCGCAACATTTTATGTCCATTTTATTGAAGTAACATTTTACCGTCTCAGTATGAGCTAATGTTCTAGTAAAGGCTAAAAAATATAATAGAAACAAAAACGCAGACTCACTTTGCTCTGCTTTAAGCTTTAGCTCAGCTATAGCTGCTTTTCTCGCATCTCCGGCAGGATACCTTTCGTTTAACGGTCTCTTGTAAAATGTCTCTCAACGTTTGAGTTTTTACGAGGCTGAAGTCATCTTCTCATTCGCCATCCTGTTTGAATGCCACCAGAATGTAACTGCTGCACTATTTAAGGTGGAATGGGAGAATTCAAACAAGAAGCTGGTGAATGAGACTTTTGACCTCGTGACTTTAGTGTTTGACAGCTTCTCTTTGATTAAACATATCAGGAAACCAGCTGCAGTGATTATAAATGCAAATAAGTCCACTCGTCTCCAAATTATCCATGTTTGTCTTAAATCTTTCTCTTTGCCTTTTCATTAGCTACTAGCTAGGCCAGATTGTTATCTGTGTTGCTATGATGACCAGCAGTTTGCGCCCTGATCTTAAGGGTTAAAGGGTGAATTAGCAGTTACACATTAACTCCAGCATTTGAGATCATTTATTGCTAATACTGTGTTTTACAGAGCTTTATTTTACTGCAGAGGAGGATTATGTTATGTTTAATGAAAAATCGAATTCTGCTGTTGAGCCGCATGTTGCCGACCCCTGTTCTAAACATTTGTCATTTTAGCATCAATTTGCTACAACCAGGACTGTACTGGTGGTATGTTTGGCCTCGTTAGTTTAGCCAAAACGCTACAATCCCAAATACCACAGAACAGGTTTGATTTCAGTTTTCTGTCATTCCAACGCAAGTCACTCAACTTTCGCTCTCTCAGACTTTAGCTTTTGTTGTATAAACTTGTTTCATTTAGTCACAGTCAAACCTGTGCTGTGATTGGGTGGCACTGTCTGGGTCTGTAGCGCGCTTGCTAAGCTAACGTTACAGTAGCTGATCCGGCTACAGATCTAAACACCACAGAACAGGTTTAATTTCACTTGTTTGTCCCTTCAGTGTAAGTTTTTTTTAACTTCACTCCCTCAGATTTAAATCATTATCATTTAAACTTGAGTCAGTGCTTTAGTTAGCTAGAATCCAATATGTTCTGTGGTAAGCAGACCTGTTATCATGCTAGCTAAGCTAACGCTAACCAGTTCCTCTATCCTAGTTAGCAGCACTGTTTAACATTTTTCAGTTGTTAGATAGATGGCTTGACATTTATTAAGTGATGGCCTGAAAATTGTACACTGCGTTCACTTATTTGGTGACACTTACTCAAAATAAAACTGCTGATTATTTTCTGTTTTGAAATATAGCAGGAGATGACTACAAAAACGACACTTATACATCATTATCGATACATTAATACCATAAACCGCAGTAATATTTGGAGACGGTTTGAAAGTATGAAACAAGTGGATGCGATTAGCCATTGTGATCAGGTTAAATATTTTATATAATATTTGTGACAGCCCTAATCGTAGCTCTATGGCAGAGTACAACTACTTTATGGAAAAACAAATACAACTCCACTTTTTGTGCATTTTGACCAATCCGTTTGGTATATGAGAGGAGTAGCTGTTACCCAATCCTGATACTTTCTGTACGATTCTAGCTGTTTTACTTGAAAACAATATGAAACTTCACCAGTTCATAAAGACTGTAGTCCATCTGTTTCTCTTTGTTAGCCCCCTTTTACCCTGTTCTTCAGTGGTCAGGACCACCATGGACCCTCACAGAGCAGGTACTATTTGGGTGGTGGATCATTCTCAGCACTGCAGTAACACTGATGTGATGGTGGTGTGTTAGTGTGTGTTGCGCTGGTCTGAGTGGATCAGACACAGCAGTGCTACTGGAGTTTTTAAACACCTCAGTGTCACTGCTGGACTGAGAATAGTCCATCAACCAAAAACATCCAGCCAGCAGCGTCCTGTGGGCAGCGTCCTGTAACCACTGATGAAGGACTAGAGGATGACCAACACAAACTGCAGCAGCAGATGAGCTATCGTCTCTGACTTTACATCTACAAGGTGGACTGACAAGGTAGGAGTGTCTAATAGAGTGGACAGTGAGTGGACACAGTGTTTAAAACTCCAGCAGCACTGCTGTGTCTGATCCACTTGTACCAGCACAACACACACTAACACACCACCACCACGTCAGTGTAACTGCAGTGCTGAGAATGATCTACCACCCAAATAGTACCTGCTCTGTGAGGGTCCATGGGGGTCCTGACCACTGAAGAACAGGGTAAAAGGGGGCTAACAAAGTGTGCAGAGAAACAGATGGACTACAGTCTGTAACTGTAGAACTACAAAGTGCACCTATATAGTAAGTGGAGCTGATAAAATGGACAATGAGTGTAGAAACAAGGAGGTGGTCATAACGTTATGCCTGATCGATGTATATAGATGATGTAAAAAATGCATGTAGATCTGCTAGAACATGGTGTAATTCTTTAAATTGATATTGTTAATAAACGGAATGTTCAAATTGCACTACAAATTCAGTTGCTGTGCGGAGGTTGACAACAACCAGCTATTTCTGCCATTTAATCTACTCCTTATCGTTCATAATGTGTTTTCTCAAAGCTGTCATTGCATTAATTTGATATGCCATCATCTAATTGCCTTTTTGAGCTATGAACATGAAAACACATGAACAGATACTTACGGAGTCAGAATTGTTCACAGTGGTGGTGAATGGAACCAGGTGTCTGAAGAGTTTAGTGCTTCTAAAAGCTCCCTCACAGACAGTTATTACACAGAATGGTTATGATTTCACAGCCTGATGCCTTGAGATATAGTTTTAAGGATTTTAAGGATTGATATATCTGACTGTTGTTTTGGTACTGGCCATGCCAGCCATGTCTGCTCCACTGCATCTCACATTATCATGACCTGTTGATATCATAAGTCATGAATAATGAACTCAGTCAGGCCTGTGAAGAATCTTGGTGAATATTTCGTCATACTGGTTCAGTGGTTGGTGTGGATTCTGGTAATAGGTGGTGGATGTTGCATAAGCAGAAATACCATCACTGACCACAAGGGGGAGCACTTGTGCTAGGAGAGAACATACAGGGCAGTGGCACTGTAAATGAGTTCTCCAAGCTTGCTCAAATGTAGCTAATCAGTAAATGTCAGTGAGTCAGTGTCCTGAAAGGCAGTTTCTTTGTTTTGCCTTGAATGAATCGACAATTTCCTCTCTTGGTGTGTAGGGGTTCGTTCCCGGCTTGTTCGGGACATCTCACGGAGCTCTGCAGTTCATGGCGTATGAGGAGCTGAAGAGGGACTACAATAAATACAGAAAGATGCATTCAGATGCTAAACTGGCAAGTATAAGTTACATGTTCCCACCACCCACCAATGTGCTAAGACAATTTTACAGATGTTGTGTGAAATGCTGCACACAATTTACATTTACAAAACCAAAGACTATGATATACATAAGGATTGTGACTCAATGTTCTTTCTCCTGTCCGTCCTCCTCTCCAGAATCCATTAGAATACATTACCATGGCAGCTTTGTCCAAAATCTTCGCTGTGGCCACCACTTACCCGTACCAGGTGATCCGAGCTCGCCTGCAGGATCAGCACAATAGTTACAGGGGGGTGGTGGATGTCATCAGGAGAACGTGGAGGTGAGCCAAACATGCACTCTGTCCATTCTTTCTATTACACACACCGCAACACAGATTAATATGACAACAAACAAATAAATGAAGAAGAGTAGGATTAATCCTGTGCTATAAAATGAACCGTAGAAATAACCCCAGGTTATATTAAACCTGTGATTTAAAAAAAACAAACTGTAAAAATAATCTAATTTTATATTAATCTTGTGCTTTAAAATGAAACGTACAATTAATTCCAGGTTATTTTAATCCTGTGCTATAAAACGAATGATAGAAATAACCCTAGGTCACATTAATCCTGTGCTATAAAGCAAACTGTAAAAGTAACCCCAGGTTAATTATTAATTCTGCGCTATAAGACTCCAGGTTATTTCGATCCTATACTGTAAAATGATTCGCAGGAATAATCCCAAATGATATGAATCCTATGCCATAAAACAAACCGTAGAAATAACTTCGGGTGATATTAATTGTGCTTTAACACAAACTATAACAAAATCCTCAGGTTATATTAATCCTATGCTTAAAAGTGAACTGTAGAAATAACCCCAGGTCATATTAATTCCATGCTATAAGGCAACCCATACACATACATATAATCCTATGTTTATCCTGTGCTATTTACCTTACATAAATATTTATGTAAACTTGGTATAAATTCATTTAAATATACATACATTTACATAAATATGTATATTTTTCTCACAAAGCCTGTAATTATTTAAATGTAATTACATAATTACATGATCTACTTATTTAATTACATTTATCTTTGATGTACATATTTTTTTTGATAAGTTAGAGCACTTTTTGTTTCAAAGGCATGAAAAATGAACATGAAGAGGTAAAAATGTAAAGGATGCTTTTTCTCTCCACAAAGCACGACTGCATATTCGAATCACCATAAAATATCTCCTCTTTTTCTTACAAACACAAATGTGCTAATGGATTGAAAGTTTAAAATCTTCACGATCCACACAATGTCTCTGCCTGTTTCAATGAGCTACGAGTGAGAAATACTTGCCTCTTAAACCTGGCCACTTTTGAGGGTTAAGGCTATCGTCTGATTTGTTTATCTAATACTATGCTGCCTTATTACACCTCGCATTGTTTCTTAATCTTCAATCATTGCTTTAGGTATTGCGCAACACTAGTTCAGAGTTGAGTAGTCAATATGGAGCATTTATTGGTGATTGAGTACTGGCTGTGTTCTGCTTCTGCATTGATAGCTTATCTGTTTACTTTCAACCCTGTACCCTCCATTCTGATTGATAAGGAGCAGTCAGTCTAGTGGCTGGCTTTGAAGACTTTAGATTGCACTGTCATGCTTGTTATTGGCATTTCAGCCCCAAAATCTGCACAGCTAAGCCATAAAATTGTTTATGAAAAAAAGGACCCCTGATTTCTGCGTAGGCATAATGCCATAGCAGACTGAATGAAATAGAAGGAGGACTGACTGGGCAATATGGCCAAAAATCTTGCCTCTATATATTTTTTTATATCATTTAATATCAGTGATTATGTATTTGGAAATGCGTGTATAATAATGTTAAGTTTTAACTCTATTTTGAGCATTGAAGAAAAAACAAAAGGTCTTATTTTACAAACTTTTATTAAAAAAAAAAACATTCCTCAAAAATCTTTTACCGATCAAATAATCATTAATGTTTATAACGGTCATTCCGGTCATGTCATAAAACTGGATTTTTGGATAAAGCCATTTATTCAGTCACACTAATTGCTGAGTGTATCACAGCTCTGAGAGTAATAATTTAGAGTAATATTTAGAGTTGGTAATCATTATTATGAGATCAGTTAAGTCAGTTAAGAAATAATCTCATTAGGAGATATTAAATCATACGCATGAGAACTTTGTTATTAAATCTTACTAAATTTCTGTTCAAGTGGTGAAAACTGGCTTCCATACTAAGCTGTCTTTGTCCTGTAATAACGAGGCATTCTTCCCTTCTCTTTGGACAGAAACGAGGGTCCCCTGGGCTTCTACAAAGGCATGGTGCCCAATCTGATCCGAGTGACTCCTGCATGCTGCATCACGTTTGTGGTTTACGAGAATGTGTCCAGTTTTCTCCTGGGCCAGCACAAATGAGCTAGAGATCAGGGGGTGACCGCACCATGCTAACCTAGAGCGAGTACACTCGCCTTGGGGGGAGACAACATTGAGCACGACCCCCGGGCCAGGCCTGGAGGGCACAAATGTGGGTCGGGGGTGGGGGGTATGGGGGGGTCAAGGTTCTTTTCAGAGAACCTCTGTCCAATAGATATGGACTTGATGTGGCTTTCTGTTGTGGACTGTGGAACTGAAAGTAGCCAAGTGCAGGGAACTTGCTTTTAGCTGAATGAGGGTGTACTGGAAAGCTGACGTAGGGCTGTATGTCTGTCTGTATGTGTGAACATACATGAGCCAAGCAGAATATTATAATAAACCTTTTATTAGAAAGGTTGTTTTTCAACAGTGCCAAAAGAGAAACTTGCTTGGTTTTATTTAAAGGGGAATTATATAATTTCTTTTAGTTTAATTCATGTTTAACTCAATCAATGACATGAAAATGAAGTCATTCAGAGCAGTTTGATGTGAAGTGGTTCATTGTAGAGAAATTTACTAACTGATTTTTCTTTACAATGGTGGTCATAAGAAGCAGGGGTCAGGATGTTGCATATGTCATGTTGATAGTTTTAGGCCAAATCTTTATCTTAAATCTATGTGACAGGCATCAGGCAGTGTATTTATAACCAATTTATGTAATAACTTTCTGTGAAGAAGCTTTTAACAGAACCAGTGTGAACAATTCTGACTAAGTTTCTCTAGAACACTAGATTTCCCATTAAACCACTCTGAACAACATACATTACCTCTTAGCATCTGAAAAAGTTGCTGGAATTCTCCTGTAAGTAATTTTTTTACTTAGATTAGCAAGAGGATAGGTGATATTTAAGATGTTTGTGTGAGCGAGAGAAAGAGAACGTGAGTGCCTTTACTTTACCTTCCTTTATATTAGAACACCGATGGAAACTTGTTCAGTGCAATGTAATAAATCTCTCTACAGACAGTACGGGTTCCAATTAGTCTTTATTTTAAACTCCATTGCATTCTATTCTCGAGATGCTAATTCAACACATTCAGAGGTACATATTTTCTTTGTGTTTTGAGCATCATTTGAAGGAATTTACAGCTTAGTTTTTACAAGTAAATTAACAGCTACTCGTGAAGATATAATGCCCAATAGAAACATGTTAAAGTATAAAATATACGACACAATGAAGTCTACAGTACATGTTAACTTAGATAAGAATATCTACAGTTTCTGGAATGCCAAAACTTTCCAAAGATCTCTTAGCTATGAACTTTGTAACTGTATTTGGTTGACTAATTTTGGTCCGGCAATGGTGGCTGATGTACTATTTGTTTTAGCCCTTTCTACAGACATCTATAGACCTGATTCTGTAGTCCGCATCATGCCTATGTAAGTCCCCAGGTTTAGGCATTCTTGTCAGTGGGGCAAAATGAATGGCATCTTTTGTAAATCGCTGCTATCGTGCCCTGTGGGTAACAGAGTGTACACTTTGAAGTAAAATCCACTGAATTACAAGGTAATTAAAAAGTCAAAATATGAATAATGCTGCATACATAGTACAAGCAAGCTAACACTTCTGTGCATTGAAAGTAATGCTGTACTCTATTATACTCTATAATGTAACGGATCTAATTAGATGATAAGCTCTTGCTGCCAAAGCATCTTAACCACCGCATTTGATGAAGCTTTCTTGTTTTCATGGGGTATTTTGGTGAAATTGCCAGTCTTATGTCAGGTCAAAGCACAGCCATGTTAGCTTGCATTTAGCAATATTTGTACTTTGACTCTTAAACAACCTCATAATTCAGAGGATCCAGTGACATTCAGGAAAAAAAAAGTGTGCAAACTGTATCGACTTTGGAACCTTTTTCTTTACCATGGGGTGATTTTCAAGAATTCTCTCCATAGAGTGAAAAAAAGCTGAGACCTGGAGTTCCTTACGTGGGTCTGCTGCCGATTACAAAATGACAACATGACTTCAGAGGTGCATGGGCAGATTTTTGATATGCCTTATGGGACTGAAGAAGAGGTCAGAAGTCATTTGGGCAGTTCCTCAATGATCATCCTGGAGACAGAATTCCAGCCGGTTGAGGCGTCGCCGCGGGGATAGTCACCACAGGTCCCCACCCAGATAGCAACGTCGACCAATCCGGCTCGGACGCCCTCACACAAGCCTTCCACTGAAATACCCCAAAAACAAAAAGGTAAAAATGGGACGTAAAGTGGATGTTTACACATTACAGGCCGAACGTGTGGAAGCATCTAGGCATGTACAAATTCATTGCTCAGCTGGGGATGTAAAATGTGAGGTATTGTGCTTTGGGTCTACTTTCTGAGCAGAATTCTGCTAGAAGCGCATACAAAACAAGCACTAGCAGAAATGGTTCATTTAGAAAAGTGCAGAGTGTATACCACCTCACACATTTAAAAAAAATAAAGCAATTTCACTGCTGGTTATCAAAGTTACTGATGGCCAAATCAGATTTTATTATAAATCCAGTATTAAACATGCTATTAAAATGGTGAATTAAAAGGATAAGAAGTATGTCAAAACCAAAACATAATTAATAATGACAAATAATAAAATAGATACATACATACATACATACATACATAAAAAATGGGCAGCCAAGCATCTCTGACCCAAATTATGTGGCTGTATCTTTCAATATAAAGATCAGTGCCCAATTTCCCAAAAACATGACTGTCATCTGCAGTGGTAGAGAAAGTGTTTGGTGTGATGCTCGCTCTACCAAGAATAATCTTTGTGCTGAGATGCTTTTGGGAAACCCAGATCGTTGGACGCTGATGCTCACCATTAAAGTTCTTGGATCAGGGGCAAAGAAACTGGATCAGGACATCCCTAATAATCAGTAAAGTTACCAAATATACATTTCTCAAATTATTTTCAAATATGAAAATCTAAAACTAAGCTCGGTGTCTACAGTCCACTGCCATTTTTATGTGTTTGTCAGATGCTCTTAACCAGAGCTACCATTTAATCAAGCTACAGACATGAATGAACGTAGTTTTAGTATGTAGTCTTGCTCAAGGACTCAGTGGCATTGCATAGTGTATTTGCCTGGGTGGGGAATCGAACCCCTGTCTGCTGCGTGGACGGTAGTATTTTTAAACATAATTCTTCACAAGTCATACCAAAATAGTCAAAATGAATCAAATTGTGTGAAATATTTAAGACTAAGATTTCATGGTGAATGGAATTGTTAATCAGATTTTGAGGTCTGAGATAAACACACCCAGAAGTGAAAATAACTGTATTATTGAATTATATAGTTTATAGTTTTTTTTTAATATATGATAGAGAAGAATATGCTTAGAAACAAAGAACAAGATGAGTTTATTTAAATGTCTGCAGGAATAATGTACAAAGTGATGGGTGGCAAATCTAAAAATGTTTGTTTTTATTGTGACAAATTACATCACCTTATGTCGCAACATAATTCCTGAGCATACTGTAGGTATCATCAGTACATAAATAAAACTGATCAGCTGCATATTTAATTACAAAGGGAGCATAATTAGTCCTGTTTAATTGGATTTAGTGCTAAAACGTTTATTAAAACCATTGTAAACATATTTTTTGACAATATTTTTAATAAACGGCAGTACTGGTTCTTTTTTGTCTGTACCTATAAAACCTCAGAACAAATACTGTGATATTGTCAAGGCACTTTTTTTGATGTCGACTACACAGAAGAACCTTCAGTGCTGAAGACAGACAGGCCCTGAGATCACTGCCAAAGAAGAAAGCCACAGGAAGTGATAACACCACAATGGAAATATTTCAAGATTCTGTCGATTCGGTTAAAGTGCTGAGCAAATTATACCAACAAACCTGGATAAAAGCTCAAAGGCCAGCAGAGTGGAAGAGGTCAGTTTATCTTCCACTATCAAAGAAAGGAGACAAGAAAGAGTGTGCAGACTATCGCACAATTTCCCTAATATCACACGCCGGCATAATTATGCTCAAGATCTTTCAGTGCAGACTAGAGTCTTACATCAAAAGAGAACTGCCAGATGTTCAAGCAGGACTGAGGAAAGGCAGAGGAACAAGAGACATCATTACTGATGTGCAGTGGATTATTGAAAAAGGCAAAGGAGTTCAAAAAGGAAGTCAACTTGTGTTTCACTGACTCCAGCAAAGCCTACAAGGGTGTCGACAACATAAAATTATGCAAGGTCGTCAGGAAAATGGGAATTCCAGAGCATCTAATGAGGAACCTTTACACTGATCAACAAACCACAGTCGTGACTAAAAAACAAACAGAATGGCTCCACATTGACAAAGGAGTTAGACTGTATACCATCATCATACCTGTTCAACCTGTACGCAAACATACAATGAGAGGAGCAGGACTGGAGGGAGATGATCCGAGGATTCAGGATTAGCGTATATAACCCTCGATGATACAGAACTCACAACAGGTAAATCTTTAAGACCTGAGGGCCTTTATGAAGAAGTTTAGAGAACAGAGTGAAAAGATAGGACTTACTATGGTTATGACAATAAAAAATTGGGACTTGACTTCGACTTAAACACCAGTGACTCAGACTCGGACTTGAGCGTCATGACTCGGAAAGACTTGAGACTCAAAGTGTAAGAAACGTGGAGAGGCACCTGACTGCAGACAGAACTCTACACTTTTCATGTGAATGGATTCGTTTCTTACCATAAACTGAATAAACAGCAACATGGTCAGATGTCTGTCACTGTGCTTAAGCTCAGTTTATTTTGTTTTGGAGGACGAGTGAAGCGTTTAGAGCTCAAGTTCACCTCCATAAGCTGGAAACAAGCGAAGCGTCAACAGCATCAATGCCCCCTCGCTTAGCACTTAAACTGCACTCTTACTGGAGAAACTCACTAGGCAAACTGACCATTTTCCTCATGGTAGCAAAACGAAAGAAACAGCTCTCTCTGTTTGACCGATTATAACAGCTTCTGCACGTAAAACAAGCACAACATTCACCACGAGGCTGAAGCTGACTTTTTATTCACCAGTCGTTCCACCTTAAATAGTGCAGCAGTGAGGCGCTGGAACGTAACTGCTGCACCATTAAAGATGGAAGGGAAAATTAGAATAAAAAAGTTGGTTGATAAAAAGTCAAATTCAGCTTCGTACATTCACCATTTTGTTATTTTCTGTAAACTTTATTCAGCTTGGTTGTTTTAGCTTCTGTTGTCATCTGAATTCAATTAGTGGTTGTTTTTAGTTGGCTGAGCTAGTTTTTATTTTAATCCTGCGCCCAATGTTCCAAAAACTTTTCAAAAATGATCTTCAAATATAAAGTTTTTGGTTCAATTAAGCTACATTTAAAATTCTTTTCATGTGTAGTTGCACTACTCTTTATGTATACAGTGTGCCTGTCATGGTTATCTGTGTACGATGCATATTGTATTTTAGTTGGAAGGGTAAATAAATAAATAAATGAAAAACTTAATATAAAGCCCTGCACTGCTTATGTGCTGTCATTAAAAAAAAACTACAGTACTGTTACCTTCATTCAGTGTTATGGCCTTAAATTAGCTAAAAAAAAAAAAAGCATACTGATTAGTTTAGGACTGTTGACTTGGGACTCGACTTGAGACTCACCTGTACTGACTGGAATTGAGACTCAACTATCTTGACTTGGGACTTGACTCGGGACTTGAGTGTCAAGACTTGAGACTGAGATCTGTCTCTCCACACCAAAGCTCAGAACTGTCCAGGCTGTGGTCTTCTCTGTGATTCTTTATGAAGATGAAAGCTGAACAATTAAAAAACGAGGCAGGAAAAATACTGATGCCTGTGAATTTCGGTGCTGGCGAAGACTTTTGAGAGTTCCTTGGACGGCAAAGAAAAAACAAATGAATGCATCCTCAACCACACCAAGCCTCACCTCTCACTCAAAGCCCAGATAACCAAGCTGAATCTTATTTTGGACACATTCTGAGAGAAACCAATTCACTGGAAATGCTTGATGCCTTGGACAGCTGAAGGTAAAAGAGGAAGAGGACCACCAGCAACAAGATGGATCATTAAAGGAATCATGAACCAGCAATTCAGAAGCCTAAGGACCTAAACAGAAGACAGGATACTTTGGAGAAACACTATCCATATGGTTGCCAGGAGTCAGAATAGACTGGATGACACTTAGTAATAGTAATAATAATTAAAAAAAAAAAAATGGTTGATTGTAATACATGCAGAATGTGGTTTGGCATTGTCTTGCTGAAATAAGCAAGGCCTTTCCTGAAAAAGACGTTGTTTGGATGGCAGCATATGTTGCTAAAACATGTATATATCATTCAGGATTAATGGTGCTTTCACAGATGTGCACGTCACCCATACCATGTACACTAATGCACCCCTATACCATCATGAATACTGGCTTTTGAACTGTGCACTGATATCAAGCTGGGAGGTCTTTAGCCCAGAGGACACAGCATCCATGATTTTCAAAAAGAATTTCAAATGTTGATTTGTCGGACCACAGGACACATTTCCACTTCCCCTCAGTCCATTTTAAATGAGCTCGGGCCCAGAGAAGGTGGCAGCATTTCTGGATCCTGTGTATATATGGTTTCTTCTTTGTCTATATGGTTCCCACATTTGTCTGCGGGCCCAAAGATCACGTCCAGCAAATACTGTTTTTTGGCCTTGTCCCTTGCATACAGAGATTTCTCCAGATTTCTCTGAATCTTTTAATGATATGATGTATCACAGATGATGAAAAGCAAAAGTTCTTTGCTATTTTACATTGAGAAACGTTATTCTTGAATTGTTGACCTATTTGATCGTGCAGTCTTTCACAAAGTGGTGAACTCCTCCTCATCTTTACTTCTGAAAGACCCAATCATGTTACTGACCTGTTGCCAATTAACCACCAGGTGTTTTTTTTAGCATTACACAACTTTACCAGCCTTTTGTTGCCCCGTCCCAACTTTTTTGAAACGTGTTGTTGGCATCAAATTCAAAATGGAAATTTCTCAGTTTCAACATTTGATATACTGTCTTTCAATGAAACTTGGGGCCTAAATAGTTTGCATATCATTGCATTTTGTTTTTATTTACATTTTTCACAGCATCCCAACTTTTTGGGAATGGGGTTGTAATAATAATAATAATAATAATAAATCATCATCAAGAAAATGTCTTCAGTATTGTGATATTGTATTTTTGCCATATTCCCCACACCTGTTACCAATTTGTTTTCTTAAAATCTGCATCCATAATAATATAACCCCTTTAGCTTTAATGACAGCCTGTTATGTTTGAAGGTTTCTTTCATGAAGTTTCAGCAGATATGTTAAATAACTACCAAAGTTTCAATTTAAGGGAATGAACAACAAGTGTGAAGACTTTTCCCCATATAAAATCAGAATTAGAGTATGAGCACTGCAAACCAGTGGAATGTTGTGGAAAACGTCTTTAACTTGATGACAAACATGTTGTGTTTTGCTGGTTGCTGGCAAACTGGCTTGTAAAATCTTTTTACATGCTTTCAACCTTTTCGTCTGCTGCGCAAGTAGAACGCTTACACCCAGCACAGACCCTGCTGCAGCACTATCGTGTTAAGAACGTCCCATGAGAATGATAAAATGAATCTATTAATCTAATGCTGAGATATGAGGCCTTCGCAAACCTTCAGAGAACAAAACCCAAATGCAATCGAACTATTCTCAGAGCTTCCTTCTGAGTGCTTTTTAAAAAGCTTAAGTATTTCCTGATGCTGAGTGTTCTCCTTTGAATGCGCTCTTGAGATACCTCTGCCTTGTATAAGCTATGATGACATTGTTTCGAGTGCCCTTCTACAAGTTATCAGTCTTCTGCTTGCATCCATTAGAGCAAAGAAGTGTTTGTGATTACGGCTATGATTGCAAACGCAGTAACGGTGGAAAACACAATTACAATCATGCAATTTGCGGCGGTGCTCTAAATGCGTTCTTTCATATGTGCATTTAAAAGAACCTTCTGTCCTTGTATGTAAACAACCGACAGACTTGAAAGCAATGTTTCACCCACAAACGCTAAAATCCTTAACAATGAAGGGGAGCTAACAGGAAGTTACATTGCACGAACAAGGTCATGCTAACTGCACTTCCACTTCATTAGTAATTGTTAGTGCTGTTAGCAAGTTCTGGATGAAGCAGGCCGACGTCACTATCTCTGTACTGGGTGAATGGGGTCAAACTGGTTTTAAAGCGGCAGTTCGGCAGAAAGTCAAATATTTGCAATTTTTCCCCCTCACCCTTCGGGCGATTAGCTGAGATATGCTTAGTGTTTGAAGTTTTGCACTGGAACTTTAAGGCTAATGTAGCACAAGTAATGGAAGCTTCTACCCCACCAATTAGCACCAACTGCATCATTATATCCTCACACATTTGCTTAGCTGAATGTCTCATATAGACTTGCTTATGTGGTTTCTGGCACTATGACATACTGTTACCTATAAAAATGAACAAAGGCTACGTTCACATCACAAGCCTCATTGCTCAAATTCGAGTTTTTGCTCAAGTCTGATCTCTCTGAACGAACCAGTGTCCTGAAATGACCCACATGAACACATCCTACTCAGCAACGTCACGTGAATGAATCACGTACATCATCAGCAAACAAACTAACGAGCTTCGCTGAGAAGATACTTAACTCTGATCAGCTCTCAGCTTCATTATTAGAGCGAGACGAAGGAGAAAAAGGTGAGATGTGTTGATTTTCCACCATTTACAGGCTTTAATTTCTGATTGGCAGTGCTGCCATGGTAACGCTCAATAATGGCGCACGGAAATTGGAAAAAAAGCACACAAATTCTGATCTGAGCGTCACATTAAGGTCACATGGCCACGAATCAGATATGTATCCGATCTAGAACCACAAATTGAAGTGGCACAGGTTAGATTTGAAAAGATCAGATTTGTGTGTCCACACAGGCCTGAAAACATCAGATCTGATTCACATTTGGGCAAAAAAATCGGATTTGTGCCACTTCAGCCTGGTAATGTGAACGTAGCCAAAAGAACATCTGCTACTAGTGTTTTTAGATAAGTTGTTAGTTATAAAACACACATTTTTCATTTTTAGAAATAAGAGTATGTTACAAAGTGGCATAAAAGGGAAAATAGTACAAAGAAGATGTACTTAGTGTGGGTACTATATCAGAATCTCACAGCGTAAAATGTACTTGAGTGAAATTCAAATAGGCTTTGTTCACACAGCAGGTAAAAGTGACACAATATTAATATGTGACACAGATGTGTTCTCTGTGTGTCAATGTGAACAGCAAAAACACATTGAACAACTTTTACGTCAATCCAACTTGACATTCAATATAATTTCACGCTGTTGAGACCTCACAAACATTTAGGGTGATGTTTCCGTACCAAAAAATTAGAAGAGACCTATCCAAACCCCTCTTGTTACGGGACGGCAGGGAGGCAGACCCAAGTGCAAAGATGAAAACCCGTGAGAAAGGGTGTTAAGTAAAGTTATTGAGGCAATGGAGTGTGAATTTGGCACATTGGGGTTGAGGTGACCCAGAGCCAGGCTTAAGCCGCCGATGTACTGATCGGCGGTCCGTGGAGTTACCGCTGCGCCACCGGGAAGCACAGGCGGCAATGGGAAAAACACCTCAAGGCAAACACCTTTTGCATGGCTTGGAGCAGTTTGTAGCTGAAGCCTTTTTGTGTTTTTTTTTTTAACTCTCTTTTGTTTTTTCCAGCCCTCTTTTCCTTTTCTTTTTGTTTCTCTTTTCAATTAAATACCCACCTGGGCTGCGTACCATACCGGTCACCCCTCTACAAAGGTGTGACAAAGGGCTACTGTTTGCCACAACCTTAAGTAGAGGAGTCCACAGGTGTGTCAGGTTGGGCCTAATCAGCCCGAGGGCTTCTGGGAATTGAAGTTCCCTGAAGCTATGGCACTTCGCTGCCTTCGCCCTCTGCTGGCGGCCGGCGGCGCAGGCTGGACCCTTACACCTCCGTGCTTGAAGACATTTTGAAAGAAATGGCCGAACGCGGCTGTAGGAGAACGAGGCTGCATCATCAAAGAACTGTTAAAAGTCTTTAAAATGTTTAAAAAATAATGGAACAGCAAAAAAAATGTGATTTGGTGAGAAAATAAAAGTAGGAAGTATATTGTAGGAACCTAAAATCAGGGCAACTTTAACCCAGAGTAGTGAAGAAAAAAGAGACAGAAAAAAATCTCTAGGTTTTCGAGAGTTTGGTATCTTTTTCTCTTAGAAATATAACTGAATAAAAAATATCAATTTTCAGTCCAAATTGTCCTAAATAAACCTTGAGTAGAGTATAATAAAAGTATAATTAAAGTGTAATTACTCTAGTTTTTTCCACCCTGGTCGTGAACTGCACACGTCTATGAGGTCTATTTGGAACGTAACCACTCAGTGCAGTTTAAGACAAGTGTGTGATAAATCAAGCACGTAGTCTGCACAATGTCAGTGATGCTTTTGGATACCAAACTCTAGGCTGACTCAGTACAGTTGGGATAAATCTGTGAAATGTGATTTACTATCTCCAAAATCTGTGTAGATCTCACCTGAGGTGGTCCGGTGTATGTTTATGGTGGAGTTGAGTTCTGGGCTGCCCTGGTCCAGATAGATGATGGACTCTATGGGCAGTGGCCCGGAACATTCCGCTCCGTTAAAGGTGAAGTACCAGCGCTGACAGCAGGCTGTCTTGCACTTGAGCCTGAGAGAGCCGCTGAACAGCACGCGGAGAGCGCTGTCTGAACGCAGCTTAGTGAACGTGCACTCCTGCAGGCGAGACGGCATGTTTAGTGGACGTGTTCTCCTGAAGATGAGGAAACAACACAAACGGTACATTCCCCCCAACAAGGTTCCCCTAAAAAGTGTCAAGCAGTGTAGGAATTTAGGCTGGCTGATACAACCAAAAATATCTGTCCATATAATTTGACACTGCTATTTTGATTTTATTTGAATTATGATAACTAAAGAAAACAAAAGGCTTAGTCTGGTTGCTCTTCGTTACATCTGATTTGAAACTGCACTATGATTATTTTCTTAAAATAATAAAAAAAATAATTAAAATTTCAGAGTTAGGGAAAAAAAATGGCTAAAATATGGTCAAATATGTGCTGCTGCGAGTCACCCTGTAAAGCCTGAAATAATAATTAAAAAGTCAGAGACGTTGAATCGGCTTTCACAGGAAGTTTTCGTATCACATCATACGTCGTCATGTATGAACGTCACATGCACAGGCTCAAAAAGAAGGTCTGGCTCAATGTTTAGGTTTCAAATGCAAAACCATTATTATGTTGTTAAAGATATGATGACAATAGCAGAAAATTCACTTATATCCTCAGAAGACATGTCCTTCACTAAGAGTTGAGTTCTCTTTAAGTACTCTTTCAATGCATTCAGTCATCAGATTCATCTGCTCACAACCCACATTACAAAATGATCTCCCAGGTGGTGCCTGCAATCACACATTTCCACCAGAGAAATCCCCAAATCTTACATAGTGCAGCTTTAAGAAAACCAAACCAATTCCATACTGCAGAGGGCATACAGAGGGAGATGCTTTCAGCCTTTCTTTTAATTCTCTATAATTACAACACTGAAAATAGCTCACTAGCTAACTCTCCTAACTGTTCTGCTTTCCTTCCAGACAGCATAGCAAAGTATTAACTTGGTACACTCATTTTATCAGAAATACCTCAAATATACCTCATTCATATATATAAAAATGTTTCATTTTGCCTATAAGGCCTAGAAGGAATGATCTGAGGTCACTGTAGCAGACAAAAAGAAAGAAACTGCTAGACCAGTGACCTTCACTCCCAGTCCTGGGGAGCCACGGAACCTGGCATTTGGCATTTTCCCTCCACCAACACAGTTGTTTCAGCTTATGAAGGACTGTAGAAAAAGCTGTTGAGCTGAACTGTGTTCAAACTACCACCAACCCATGTCACTCACTGTGATTTTGCCCAGGTCGATGCCGTAGTTGAGTGAGTTCCAGGCGCACTGTTTATAGTTGGGTCTCCAGGGTTCCTCAAATATCTCACTCACGCATTCGCCTTTCTCCCCCTTGGCACCGTCTCGTCCCGGTACACCTGGCGTACCCGGGATACCATTTACTCCCGGATTTCCATCCCTGCCTGTCATGCCTTGCGGACCCTGCAGACAGCTGGAGTACTGCAACGGAAAAATAAACAACAACTGGATCCAACAGGTTCATTCGACACTGTAATGGATTACACAACATGATACAGATCATTAAGAACGCAATTTGGAAAGTGCAAGCTTTGATTTTTTGAAACAAAGTGGTCACCATGCCACCTTGATTTATTATAAACCTAACAGAAGGAGCTGCAAGTATGCTGCCTATGTCAAACTCACAGGCAGACTAAACAGCACCTTAATGAAATGTGCTGAAGCTCTAATTGCCTTGTTTATGCCACCATTGTAAACGCTACAATCAAAAAGCTTCAAATATCGCCTCGTGCTGTGGTTAGGAAGTTACTGTGAGGTCTTTAGGCATCTTAAATGAACAGCCATTAAGAAAAAGCAAACAAAATAGCTCTCAAATCACTGTGTGGCTTTAAATCTGGTGAGAAATAATCAAACCCCAGGCAACAGCACTGTACCACATTTCATTTGAAGGAACAGTCTGATGAAAAATCAAGTTTAAACAGTTTCCTGCATTGCCCTAACTGGAGTCAGTCAGCCAAGACATGTTTGGTATCTGAGGTTTGCTTCTTTAGTTGCTTCCCAAGCTATGAGGCTAATGCAGATAACATATAATTTTAAGCTTATACAATTATACAGCAGTACAGCATAACATTATAACCTCCTCCTTGTTTCTACTCTCATTGTCCATTTTATCAGCTCCACTTACTATATAGGTGCACTTTGTCGTTCTACAGTTACAGACTGGACCCCCCTGGACCACCACAGAGCAGGTACTATTTGGGTGGTGGATCATTCTCAGCACTGCAGTAACACTGATGTGGTGGTGGTGTGTTAGAGTGTGTTGTGCTGGTCTGAGTGGATCGGACACAGCAGTGCTGCTGGAGTTTTTAAACACCTCAGTGTCACTGCTGGACTGAGAATAGTCCACCAACCAAAAATATCCAGCCAACAGCGTCCTGTGGGCAGCATCCTGTGACCACGGATGAAGGACTAGAAGATGACCAACACAAACTGTGCAGCAGCAGATGAGCTATCGTCTCTGACTTCACATCTACAAGGTGGACTGACAAGGTAGGAGTGTCTAGAGTGGACAATGAGTGGACAGTGTTTAAAAACTCCAGCAGCACTGCTGTGTCTGATCCACTCGCACCAGCACAACACACGCTAACACACCACCACCACATCAGTGTTACTGCAGTGCTGAGAATGATCCACCACCCAAATAGTAACTGCACTGTGAGGGTCCATGGGGGTCCTGACCACTGAAGAACAGGGTAAAAGGGGGCTAACAAAGTATGCAGAGAAACAGATGGACTACAGTCTGTAACTGTAGAACTACAAAGTGCACCTATATAGTAAGTGGAGCTGATAAAATGGACAATGAGTGTAGAAACAAGGAGGTGGTCGTAATGTTATGTCTGATCGTATGTTATGTATGTTAGCACTGTGCAAACTGCATCACATACTGGCCTTAAACCATGTTGTCTAGTGATCTCAAATAGACTTGCTTATGTGGTTTCTGACACTGTATGACATATTTTTGTCTCTAAAAATGGACAAGAGCATGTTATCATAGCTAAAAATAGTACAAGCAACTATTATGCAAGCCTAGAATTTGCCTGTGTTATTTCCACTTTCATAGATAACATACAGGAAAACCATGTGTGTCATTTTACATGGTGAACTATTCTTTTAAGTGACTACTGATAAAAAGTCAGTTCCACTCCAGGAGCACAGTGGGGTGGGGTAGGGTGGAGGGGTTTGCAGCTGGTCAGACATAATTATTATTGCTGGAAGTGGAGAAAGAACCCTGACTGACCACACTAAAACTTGCCTCCTGTTTACCACCACTGCATGAATATTGCCAACTCCAGGATCAAATTTCACCAAAGTAAAGCCAACTGTTAACAACAGTAGTTTCAGAGACACAATGTCTGCTTTATTCTGCTAAAATAGGCACCGGGCAATTTTGAAAGTATGCTAGTTGCATTCAGAAAGTGAAGTGGCTTGTGTTTGAGCAATCTCCCAGCTCCAAAACGGGGTGGGCTGATATATGGTGGTGCAGCAGAACTGAAATCCAGTAGATACAATCACACTTTTCATATTGCATTGCATATTACAATTCCCTGCTTCCTGAATCTTTCTTAACAGATTTTAAAATCACCATTAATCATCCGGGAAGTAAATTAGATCTACATTTTCCCCCCGATTGTAGGTTTAGCAGTGCAGCATCTTAGATAAACCTTTTGTTCCATCATCACTTCTTTTCACTGATCAAATAAAAGAAAGAAAAACACAAGGTACTCAAAAAAAAAAGTCCACCGGAATGTCAAGGCTCATGTCCTCCCTCTCTGCTGCTCTCCATGAATCATGCAGAAGATTGTGAATCATTTATCCGTGTAGGCAGTGACGGGCTCCGGTCACCAGTGGTGTGATTTATTTTCCACCCCTGCTGCTGTTTACACAGATGCTGACTGTGTCTCAGACTGATTCTAACACAGACGGCGCGCTCCGCCAAAGACGCCAGAACAATACGCCGCCCACCCGGCCTTCTCAGTATAGAAGACAAACACTTGAACCGCACTGTAGTTGCCTGAGTCCAGAAGTTATTGTGATAAATTTGCACACACTTAAGCTACTGTGACCTATAAAGGCTCTCAGTACATCTGCAGCTATGCAGTATTTGCAGATCTGTGGTTACATAAGTGGAGAATGCAAACAGAAAATGTTAGACTACTTAAACAGCCTCAGAATGATGTACAAATTGAACAGTGCTGTCTAAGATGCATTTATTTGAAGGTGAAATTCAACAGCGTGTAATGTTAGAACCCATTATAATCAATTATAACAATGTTCACTAAAGTACACAGTGGCCAAAAAAGAATGTGGACGTTTGTGCCATCCTTAGTTCACTGCGTCAGGATACGAAATGTCCAAACCAAGAGGTATTTAAACAAACCATTTTAATACTGTCATTTTCTTTTTGGCAAAGTATTCAGCTGTCGTGTTTCAGATTGTTATCGTTCGAGACATTTCTTTGCAGACTTTCTTCTGCAGTTTTGCATCCATAATGCCTTTGTATACTTCTGAGATCACGATGCCATCAATGAGCACAAGCTCACCAACACTATTTTAAGAAAAGCTTTGATGCTTCAACCTCCATACTTTACAGTAGCCTTAGTACAGTCTGCAAGCTTTCTCCACACAAAGACTCCAAGGCTGCGTTCACATTACACGCCTCATTGCTCAAATCCGATGACACGATGGTTCACACTCGTTTAGGTAATTGATCTGTCATGTGAACGAACCAGCATCCTAAAATGGCCCGCATGCAAACATCCTACTCAGTAACGTCACGTGAATGAATCACGTACATCATCAGCAAACAAACTAACGAGCAGAACGAGCTTTGCTGTGAAGATAATTAACTCTGATCAGCTCTCAGCTGTTCATTATTATAGCGAGACGAAGGCGAAAAAGGTGAGATATGTTGCTTTTCCATCATTTACAGGCTTTAACTTCTGTTTGGCACTGTTGCCATGGTAACACTGAATGATGGCGCACGCGCAGTGGGAAAAAAAGCACATGAATTCCGATCTGAGTGTCACATTAAGGTCGCATGGCCATGAATCGGATAGGTATCCAATCTAGGACCACATATGAAAGTGACTCGGGTCAGATTTGAAAAGATCAGATTTGCGTGTCCACACAGCCCTGAAAACATCAGATCTGAATCACATTCGGGCAAAAAAAATCAGAAAAAAAAAGTTGTGCTGAAACTGTTTGAAAAATCATTTCGTCAAACTTTTTCTGAAGTAACCTAAAGAATTTTGTTAAAGTTTACCAACAACTTCCAAGCTGGGAGGATGAAGGCTAGCTCAAGCTACCAACAAGACATACAAAGTGCAGCCGCATCTGCTGCTAATGCAATGTCATGGACAGCACAGCACTCTTGAAGGATAACACTAACTACCAATTCTGTTACTTCAGCTAATATACACCTGCATTGGCTAACATCATACTTAGCTCTACTTTTAAGTTAGCAGAGGACATAACTTTTGAATATGATGATGCCTCTCACAAAATATTCAACATTTCAATACAAGAAGCTTTTTAAAAAGTGTTATACAGGCAGAACAGCATCCTAATGAAGAGTCGTGCCACCCCACTGTACGACAGAGAGCTGCGTCTGCTGAAAAGGTGGTAGGAAGAAAAAAAACTTGCAATCAAAGCATCCAGAGTACAGGCGTACTAGACTACCTCATCAATTTGTGCTAATGTATCCACACTGGAGAGAGTAACATCTGCATAATAATGCTACTCTGTTTTGTTGTGAATGGTGTTAAAACAGGCCCTAGATACAACAGTGCAAACCTAAAAAGCAAATTTGACTGTTCACCTATTCCTTTAACCAGTCATCTCCTGAATATAACCTAGCCCCAGCCTCAACCAGTCATATCCTGTGTTCCCTGACCGCTATATAACCTTAACCAAATGTACCAAACGTCACTGACTGTGAATGCGAGCCAAATTTGAGTCAGCTGTTAGAAATGGAAAACAGCAGCAGCAGTTCTGTTCCAGGGCTCAAATGCTTGTGTCTAAACTCAGCCAGTATTACTACTACTGCTACTTTCGTTTCATTGTTAAATTTTGGTTGAAAACAAAGGGTTAAATTCTTAAACTTTCAATGGAAAACTGTCCAGTCGTATCTAGGTAGAGCTAAGCTAACTCCCCAAAAAACCTCTTAGCCTTTACCCCTCTGTTTTGTGCGTTCATGTCTAGGGGTAGGGTGTCCCAATTTTTGTTGAGATAGAGGGGTGGGGTGAAGTGTTAGGGCTACATGGCCCTCCAACAGAGTGTTATAAGAAAAAAAGAAAAACCGGCAAGATGGCTGCACGAACGACCAAAGAAACACACAAATGTGAGGATTTTCTCAGTTAAAAATTACAATAACCATTTTATTATCTTAGTTTAATGTCATTTCAATGTATTATGGTCCTTTTCTTCATAACAAGCATAAAAATATTGCTTGCAGTTTGCTGATGTCTCAGTAGCTAGCTAGCTAAATTTCCTGTTCCACCTTAAATTGGTGCAGCAGTTCTGACCAATTTAAGGTGGAACGGGAAAACTCGATCAAGAAGCTGGCGGACAGCTGACTTCAGCTTCATATCACTGAAGAATTAGGGGTGAGTGATAATAAATAATTGTCACATCCCCCTCTTTGAAGGCATATGATCCCCTAAATGTAACTAAAGCCCAGCAGTGAGGAGCTGATCTTTACCCTCCTCTGCTGTCACTGCAGACTGGCAGGGTCGCCTACAGAGCAGCGCTAGTAGCTGTTAATGAAGTAATGTTCTTTTTTATTTCATCACTTTCCTCTGGCTCGTTAGCAGGCTAAAGGCTACCTGGCTAACAACAACAACAAAAAGAAAGACACTGCCTCATGGTTCTACACCAAGGCCCAATCCCATTTCTTCTTTTTACCCCTACCCCTTGTTTTCAAGTGTCACCCTAACCCCTTTGAACTGAGTTACAAGGGGTAGTGGTTGATCTTGCCCTATGAAATGGGACCCTCAAATTAAAAAAAACCAAAACAAAACATTGCTTCATTAACAGACTACTAGCACTGCTCTGTAGGCGACCCAGCCTGTCTTCAGTGAGAGCAGAGAAGGGAAAAGTTCAGCAACCTCTGGGCTTTAGTTACATTTAGAGCATCATATACTTTCAAAGAGGGGTTTAATTTAATTATTTATTATCGCCCACCGCTAATTCTTCGGTGATACGAAGCTGAAGTAAGCTATTCATCAGCTTCTTGTTCGAATTTTCCCGTTCCACCTTAAATAGTGCAGCAGTTACATTCTGGTGCTTCAGGCGTCAGAACTGCTGGACTATTTAAGGTGGAATGGGAAGTTAGCTAGCTAGCTACTGAAACATTAGCATGCTATTTTTTATGCTTGTTATGAAGAAAACGACCATAATACATTGAAACGACATTAAACTAAGACAATACGATAGTTACTGTCATTTTTAACGGAGAAAATACTCACATTTGTGGGTTTCTTTGGTCGCTTGCACAGCCATCTTGCCAGTTTTTCTTTTATTCTCATATCACTCTGTTTGGAGTGTGCCTCTGAAAAACCTTTGTTTGGAGGGCCATGTAGCCCTAATACTTCTACCCCTCCATCTCAACAAAAATTGGGACACCCTAACCCTTGACGTGAATGCGTAAAACAGAGGGCTAAGGGCTAAGTGGTAGGGGCAAGGGGTGAAATGGGATTGGACCCAAATCTATCACCAGCATTACTCACACACATTATGTATGTGATGCTCAAACATTTTGCACAATTTGCAAGGCTAGCTGATTAGCTCACTAAGGCTAACCTGCCGAGATGAAGTGCATTCCGTTGCAAAAATCCGCTCCTCACTGTCCTCTCCTAATCTTCTGTCGCGAGTGACCACTCAGCAGCATAGGTAAGGAATCAAAGTGGGTGAGGAATTGAAACGGGGCCCATGTTTGATCTAGAACGGCCAAAATTATTCATGCGCATTGCCATTAGCCTACCACCAACATGCTAGTATACCATAGAAATGCTAGCAGAAATTTGCATTATCGTTGAGGTGGGTTTTTTCCCGCCATATTTTGACCGAGTTTGGCATTTATTGACCGAACTGAAGGCCCAGCTCTAAGTGTCACAGTTCGGCACTGTGTTTCAGTGCAGGTCGTATGTTTAGAAGTACCGTATGTTGTGGCACTACCCAGTGGAGAACAGGCCGTATCTATAAAGCACAGAGTGTGTTGCCCTTGAAGCTAACATGCAGGAGCGCTGCTCCTGTAACCTGACCCCAGCGCTGAGGACAATAGGTGGCCTACGAGAGCAGCGGGTCTGCTTTTGCCATCGAGTAGCTGCAGCGTCACCCGCGTTCCCACCTGCCAGAGTAATTCACAGCCTCATCGGTATGCCTGTGAGCACGGAGCGTGGAAATAAGGGTCTTTAACCAAGCCATAAATCTTCTCGCTATCGGCCAGAGGCAGACCGCGGAGTGAAACGTATTCATATTTATTAAGGGCCCCGGTGCTCTCACACCTCGACGCTTCTGGCACCTTCTTATTGACAGCAAGCTCAAGGATCCCCACAAACAAAGCCACAGATGCACACACAGATAAACAACTGCGTTTGACCGGGGTGGACCGCGGCTGCCGGGGCCGCCAGGTCCATCAATTGAAAGCTGCCGACTGAAATGCACCAGACGAGGAGGCTCATGGGAGAGCCCAGATGAAAAATGCACTGAGGTGAGCCGGCCCACTCCACAGGCCCCTACAATGGAGTGAATATTGAATCAATTCAAATAGATGAGCACTCCCCCTTAGCTCCGAGATTTTTCATTACAATGATAAATCTGGTATGATATTTAAGTAATAGAACCATTTACAATAAGATGCTGAAGGGGAAGCTTTTTTTAGATGATGAACTGTGATGAATCAGGGAGCTACGTCGTTTTTTTTTTTTTATCCCTCTCCGTCTCTGATAGACTGCGCCCTTGATCTTTTTTCATTTCCTATTGAATACGGCTCGGCATGAGCCAGGCTGAGGCGTCACGTGGGCAGCCTCTTCGGTATCCTATGGCCTGAAGTAAACAGGCTAGCCTGAGGGGGGAAAAAAAAAAGAAAAAGAGGTGGACTTGTCAGAACTCTCCGCTCCTTCCAAGTCCTTGCTGGTCAGACGCAGCTCTTTTAAAAACTCATTCGGAGAGCTGTAGCCATCAATTGACTCTGTTTACTGCTTTCTATTTCCACTTGCTGTCAAAATGCCTCGGAGCGAGGCGAGGCTTTTTAGGATAACTTATTGCAGCTGTTTGCAACACTCTTAGCATTTAACCATCCTCCGATGATCAAGCGCATTGACTCTCTCAACATCACTGAGTAATAAAAATGGCACCGTAAGTCATAAAATCGATGGGTTTAGAGCCAAACAGATCTGAACTGTCTCCTTTTAGGGGGAAGGAAATTAGGTGCGGAACACAGAGCATGCTGGAGGTGTTTTCTAGATGTTTCACAAACAACTTCATGCATCTAGAGGGTTAACCAGGTGATGAAACAGGAGAGAGAGAGAGAAATGGGCCCTTTAAATAAACATCTGGAAACAAACACTGAAAATTAGAGCTAAAAAGTTACAATCAATGGCACCAAACTATTTTTTGTAATTTCCTGTGCTCATGTATTGGCCCCTGTTACATAAACATTAAATGGAAATGGAAGTTACCATGGTATACTGTGTAGACTGGCTCTCAGCTGTGTGTCTGGTGCAGTTCAGTTTGCCTGTGTGTCCCTCAGTGCACTAAAAGGATCACAAATAACTCCCATCAGCATGTGTTTTGGACTGTAATTGCTTTTTTTTTGCCATCCACTGCCCGATAAGGACTGCTCCATTAACTTACCTTTTAACCCAATCCATTTTTAATCATTTTAATTTACATATTATAAATCAGAACAAATCTTTGAGGCATTAGACACACTGCGACCAGGCATGCTGTGGAAAATCTGAGACGGTTAGTATCTCCAAACAGGAAACTGACACCTAATGGGATATCACGCTGTAATGGGTTTACAGGGGAGATGATGATAATGTGTTGTTCTCGTGCTGCAGCGACTTCTTTATGCCAAAGATAGGGTGCATTTCCTGAAGATGAGGTTGAATAGTGCACGCTAAATAAGAGATGGGCAGCAATTAGTTCCATTTCACTCATTTTAATGAACTGAAGTACACTTTTTGATGGATTTGCGTGAATTTTTAAAGGGTCATACTGCTACTTCTAGTCAGTTATGTTTGTGTGAAAGCTGCTTTTTCCCCTTTTTAAAGGCTGAATTCCACTAATATTTTAAAAGTTCTGCATAATTAAGTTGGTAATACGGAAAACAGAGAGGCTTATTGTGAAATGTGCTGTTCTAGAGAAACTTACTACTTCCAGAGTCTTCACAGTGGTGGTGATAGGAACCCGACATCTGAAGAGTTTCATGCCTCTAAAAGTTTTACACTGTTTTATGCTTGTTTAGTGATATGTTTTTTTTCTCAAATGTATTTTTAAAGCTCATTCATGGTGCAGAGGTTCATGCCGAATGTTCCAAGGCAATACAGCCCCCAAGGGGAACATATTTTTCAGCTGTATCACTTTATTATCATCACTGATATCACATTTAAAAACTCAGAAGGTTCACTGGTGGTTCTGAATAGTAAATAAAACGGTTATGTCTGCCCTGTAAATGTCTCAACTCCTGGTTCGTATCACCACCACTACAAAACTCGTATCTCAAAGACTGAATTATGCAGATATTTTGCAAAATTGGAATTCAAAATCTCCTTTAATTTGATTTCTGTTGGTTCAACTTCTGGCCTGCTTGTTGCTCACAGCTCTTACTTTGGAGCTTTAGCATTTTATTTTTAGACTAAACGGATAAAAAAATACAGAGAACCTAAGAAGACAAGGTGATTATTTTTTAAAAAGGTGTGGCCATGAATCAACAGGCCACAAATTACTATACTGAGGCCCACGAGTTAAGTTTCTTATAACTTATGGCTTCAATATATTAATTGGTGGCCACAGCATAGTAATTTATGGCCTCAACATATTATAGTATGGTCTCAACATAGTAATTTGTGGCCTCAATATTACTTTGTGGCCTCAATATTGAAATTGGTGGCCTCAATATATTAATTTGTGGCCTCAACACAGTATTTTGTGAGCTTAATATAGTAATTTGTGCCCTCACTTTGTTGCCTCAACATAGTATATTGGGGCCTCAACATAGTATACAGTAGCCTCAATACATTAATTTGTGGCCACAACATAGTATATTGTGAGCTCAATCTAGTAATTCTAGTAACTTTGTGTTCTCATTATGGTAATCTGTGGCCTCAATTTATTATTTATTAATTTTGGCCTTAATATATTAGATTGTGGCTTCAATATATTAAATTGTGGCTTCAACATGGTATATTGGGGTCTCATAGTAATTTGTGTTCTCCACATAGTATATTGGGATCTCAATAATTTATGGCCTCACTATAGTAATTTGTGGCCTCAATTTATAATCTGTGGCCTCAACAAAGTCTACTGTTGGTTGAATATAGTAATTTGTAGCCTCAAAATATTACTTTGTGGCCTAGCAACATAGCATATTGGGGTCTCGATATAGTAATTTGTGGCCTCAATGCAGTTATTTGTGCCCTCAACATAGTATACTGTGGCCTCAATACATTAATTTGTGGCCTCAACATAGCATATTGTGAGCTCAATCTAGTAATTTGTGGGCGCGATATAGAACTTTGTTGCCTCAACATAGTCTACGGTGGCCTTAATATAGACATTTCTAGTCTCAATATGGTCATTTGTGGCTTTACTATATTAATTTGAGGCCACGCCATAGTAAAAATAATCACCATGTCACCTCAGGGGCTCCGCAGAAGGAAGAAAAGAACAGATCCAAACAAGCTTCAGTTGCTGAACTGAGAGGTGCTGGATGTGCTCAGAAGCTCCAGTGCAGTTCTATAGGACAGTCAGGAGAAGGGAACAGTTGATGATTTTATCTGAAACTTTTTTCACTGAAAAAGTTGTTTTTGGCCCTATTTTACCTACAATTACGTCATTATGTCACTGAAGTAACGACATTTTAGCTACTTTAGTTTGGTTTAGGCTACTTTACTCACCTCTATAAGAAACGTTTCTGACAGAAACTTTGCCCTTCGAGTTAAGCACTGAAAAAAAGAAAAGTCTTACTTTGTCCACGTATTCAACGTCTTTCTGCCGCAGTCCTCTGTTTTTTATCCTTTCGACTCCATGGCAGGGAAATACTACACAGATAAAAACGAGCACTCTTGTCGTTACTGTTAGCTGCTCCATGTTCAAGACGAGAGTATGAATGAAAAAACTCTCTAACGGCCGTTTGTGCGAGCTGGCGACGAACGACTCCGGAGCGAATCGGTTCTTTTGAATCGATTCTTTCCCTAAATCTGTCGAACCGATTCATAAGTAGCTTCCACATAACGTTTAACCCGTTGAAAGGCTGAAAGGCTTTAGCACAGCTAAAAAATACGCTTTTACAGCTTAAACTCATTAAAGAACAACATAATATACCACATGGTAAAATATGAAGTACAAACTACTACTTTTTGTTAACTATATGCTGGGCAATACTGTTAAAAATAAAATCAGTCGTGATATTTTCTGAATACATATAACAGTATCAAATGATATTTAAGTTTCCATTCAGTTAATCACACTATTCTTGTTTTTTTTCTGCTCTGATTCTATTTCTGGTCAGTATTTACATCAAAATGAACCTGGCAGAAAACCTATTCACCGAAATGAAATTTAAAAATGTATTAAAATTATAAATTAAAAAAAAAATCAGCTCTTTTAGGGCAGACTTGCACTGAAGAGGCTCTTTTGGTTGTTTTTTAGAAAATAAGACAAAACAAACTGGCAGACATTATCAAACAATTCATCATTACTCTTTAAGGTTGTTTCAGCACTCCCTGTATGGATCTCTGGCTTGGAACATTCCGGCTCCGCCCCCTTATTATCCCTAACACCTGTTGCTTGTTGTACAATTTTGCCTCTAATTTTTGTTCTTACCATTTTTTTCCACGTAATTCTTGCTGTTCTTCCAAGTGTGTCTTGTTAACTCTCCCGATTTTTGACTGGTTCATGGATTTGCCTGCATTTAGCTGATCTGTATCCGGAGGTACCTGCCTCTTGAAATTCATCTAGTGAAACTACATATGGACATTTTTTTATTTTTTTAAATATCAAACATTTGCAATTAATCAGGAAAGTAGATTGAGGTTTTATTGAAAATCAAATGATAGATTTAAAAAAATGCTACTGAATGAAGAGCCACTTGATATTCCGGCTTCACATTCCAGCCTAAAACTAGCATTTAATATGTTTTATGTTATACAATATCAAAGAATTCATATGTATTGTCATACAACCATACAGAGTCTCCTCCATAAAGGAATGCAGTGATGTACAGGCTAATAAATGTACATGTGATATTCGGCTTCCTAGCAGTAACGTTAACTATCTGGTTTCCTTCTACATCAGCCAGTTAGTGGGAAAAAAATTTCAAAGCAGGGTGGGCCCCTTAAGCATCCTGCCCATAGCAGTTGTTGCAGGCAATGATGATGTCATATGAACTAAAAACCTTAACATTCAGCACATGTACCGCAACATCTAAGTAACATTTACTCATGTTCAGCGCACACAGAACCATCTATCATTTATAGACTATTCAGCAACATGTAAGTAACATATTCATTATTCATATTCAGCACACACACCCCCCTCATTCCAATTGTCCAGTACACTGGACATTTTCCCAGCTATTCCAGCGATAGATGCAGGAACATCACTACTCTCACTTTTATGTGTTTTACACAATTCAATTTGACTGTTTAACTGCACGTTTTCTTTATTATTTTGTCATAAACAAAAACAAATACGGCACATGGCGAGATGGACGCTCAGAACCTCCAAGACCAAATAAAACATTGTTTCTGAATCCAATATTTATTTCAGAACTGTTTTTGTATGTAAGCCCTATAATGTCCCTCTTGTGAAGATAAAAAAGAAATAGTAGATATTTATTTCTGCATAAACCAATTTTGAGATGTCTAGTATTCTGGACATTTGCGCATTTGGTGTAGTAAATGATGTTTTGGTTAGTCCAATAGACTCCTACATTACAAAACACAACAATTCAAGATTTTTATTTTGTTAAAAGTAGAATCTTTTGTTTATTTAGGAGTGACAGTAGATGATTACACTGTCAAGTGTACAGGATATTGATAATGGAATTAGACACATGAAATCTTCAAGATTTTATAAAATAAACACATATTATTATCATTAGGGTAGTAAATATGGTTATTTCTGAAACACAGAATTGTTATTTCTGTTTATGACTCTGGGTTGGCATATAAAATGTATGTAATATGTCTAACTTGCAGCAGTCCACGTAGTTCCAAGAGTTCAGCAACTTTTCATGCAACTGTACATCTAGTGAACTAAGGAAAAGGTTCATGCTTGTTTTGTGTCTTCTGTTGGCGATAACAAATGTTTATTTTTCAAAACCTCTTACATTTCATGCTCCCGAATGGAAATGTCCAGGATACTGGACACTGAATATAATGTTTCCCAGTAAAAAGAAAAAATAATAAATCACATATTTTGTTATTTAGAATGCAGCATGTTTCATAAAGAAAACATGACTTGCTTTTAAAATGTTCAGTCTCAAGAGTGAGGGAGATACAGCAACATCTAAAATGTATTTGCTACTCTGTGCACATACAGCAACATGTGAGTAATGCTTGCAGTCATAGAGATACAAAAGCAACAGAGAACAGTGCAGCACATAGGTCAGCCTAGGTGTAGAATACAGGAGGCCTCCTGTCCTGCATGTTGTACTGTTTTCATTTCTCTAACATACCCTCTGGCAGAATGTTCCAGACTTTAATCACATTGCCTTCCCTCGCAAATGTATTGCGTTCCCTGGCAAATAAAATGCATTCCCAAATTAGCATTTTTTTGCGAGGGAATGCAAAACGTTTGCGAGGGAACACAATGTCATTAGCTTTCTTTTTTTTTTAACCACGGCCCCTTAACGGCTCTGTAGTCTGTTGCTCTCTGTCTGAGATGATACGTCTGCTCATCCGCCATATTGGAGCGGTCAAGATCCGCTTGTGAACAAATTCACTTGTATTGAGAGATGATGAGTCTGAGGATTAAATCCGCCACTACTTCCTTACTATTCAAGCAATTTTCACCAAATTTGTTTCGTTTTAATCCTCAGACACAGATTAATCTGGGCAGCACGGACTGCTCTCGGTAGCTTTTATTTCTTTAGTAACTGATCGTGCTAATTAGCCGTCCGGACCAGCAGAAAAGTATTCAGTCTGCACCTGACGCTACAAACCCCCTCAAAACATAGTAAGAAGGATGAAGCTAAAGTTGGTTACTTTCTGGTGCCTGAAGCTGCACCATTTAAGGTGGAACGGGGAAATTCGAACAAGAAGCTGGCAAATAAGAAGCTAACATCAGGTTTGTGTAATAAGGTGTTAACGTTAATCTACACGGATTAAGGAATGCGATAATTTACCTAGCTACAAAGCATTAACCATCATTAGTGAGATAGTATAATATTGGACAGCATCTTTAATAAACTGCTGCTCTGTAAAGGTACTGAATACAGTCCAGCAGCGATGTTGACTGTCCCAAAATGGCGGTGACGTTGACCTGCCTGGCTGGACCCAACGCAGCATGTAGGTATGTATATCTGTGGTGTAAGCAGCATCTAGCTCTGCAACGGTACTAGAGAACCTGTAGAGAGTAGAATTACCACTATGTAATATCTTCCGGTTTTCTCAAACGCTAGAGGGCGCTCCAGAGCGGGTCCAAAATGATTGGGTTAAGATGGAGCATTTGAGTAAAATCATCGTTTATAATGCTTAAACATTTTTAATGTAAAAAAGTACAACCATTTCCTGACATTTAAACACCAATGTTATATTTTTAAGAGCTTTTAAAACAGTGTCTCATGTACATTCATGATGTCAGTGAGCGTGAACAGCCAATGAGGTGCTCCGCTCGCCAACCAATCAGCACTCAGTAGCAGTAATGCCAGTGTCCTGCTGCCCAAAATCTGTTTGCTGTAGAAAAAGGAAACGTACAGGTCAGTTTTGTGACAGGTTAGTGAAATACATCCTTCTACTTTCTAAAATTAAAAGAAAGTTCTGGGTGAGTGATTAGAAACTATTTTAACTTTTTGTTTTTAGATATTTTGCTTCTTTCACCTCATTCGTTTAGCACTCACCCTGTGTTTTTCGCCGTCATGTTTTTGATAAAACTTGGGAAACTAGAAGAGCAAGTTCATTAACTTAGTTGAATCAGGTGAGTGAGAACAGGGAAACACACGTGCTAGAGGGGGGACTTGACCTATGAATCAATGAATCGCTGAGTCGGACCTTCGCTTCACTTAAGAGGAAAATTCGAAAAGATTCGGTTCAGGAAACTGAATCAGGCGAAACCGTCTCCGGTGCGAGTCTCGCGGGAGCAGGCACGTTGCTGGGAAACGCTTGGCGAAGGTAACTAAACTGATTCGTATGACAGAAAAATGTGACATTCTTCTTATTTTAACGTTTTCATTATTTTTAAATTGCCTTGATAAAGTTTCACATAGACGAGGAAACAGGGTAAAAAGCTAATAAGCTAATATTTGTCTGGTTTGAGCGAGAACTCGCAGCTCGGTTGTGCCACGTCCAGCTTTGAAAATGCTTCATTAAACATAGAAGAGACTCTCAAAACAATTTGTGTCTCTGAGGATCAAATATATGTATTTTCTATAAATCTATAGTCTAGAGGAGGCCACACGACCTGCTTTTGTTTTTGAAATGCAGCCTAATAAGCCTAATGGTCAGAATAAGCTATTGGCACGTATCGAAATCTCTTGAGATGCACCAATTCAGAGAGCTACACAATCTTCTCCAAGGTATTAAAGGGCAAATATAATGAAAAACTCAAATTTCCTCACTTGTAACAATAGAAGAAGCCGGTTTGTGCTATATAGAACCATTTTCAAAAAGGTTCCATATAAAACCATACAAAACATCAACCAGAAGAGCCATTTAACCATGCAAAGAACCATTTAAGCATGAAATGCTTCTATATAGAACTGCAGAACTAATGGTTCTAAATAGATCTGTTGCCTTTAGTCAAGGTACAAAATACATGGGGTTCTGGTGGGGGTCCTAGGGACCTGGGATCTCCTAATTAACCTCCTGGATCCCCTGAATGTCTCAAAATCAAAATTCTTGGGGTTCCTTAAAATGAACTTATAACATTATGCTGTGTTCAGGAACAAACAGCCCAGATACAAATTCTGAAAAGGGTCATCG